TATTCAATGCAATTGTTTTGGCCTGAGGAAGCTCTGTGTGTATTCATTTCTGAACCTGTCTGCTATATTCTTGGGCTGGACAGGGCTGAAAAAGGCCTTGTAGGAAGCATGAGCTGAGTTTCCATTGCCCTGGTTCCTTTCCTACAGGGGCACATGGAGGGAGAAGTGTGGGGATTGGCAGCTCACCCTCTCCTGCCCATCTGTGCAACAGTGAGTGATGACAAAACCCTTCGGATCTGGGAATTATCCTCGCAGCACCGTATGTTGGCAGTACGGAAACTCAAAAAAGGTACAGAACACCACCTTTACACATCATAAAAGTATTTACAAGCAACAGAATAGGTTGAATTCAACCATTCATTCAACTGATATTTATAGATAGCTCCTGTAATATGCCTGACCCCCAAATATGCTAGCAATAGGAATTCAGAGGTCACTGTGCAGGTAAATCTAAGCACAAGAAAGTTTTCCCAGAAGGCTGGCCTGATAGAGCAGTGCCCTGGCTCTGCTGTTCACCATTTTCCTTGTACTGCACAGACATTTGCCACCTGGGGGCAATATGTCCTTCTTCTTCTCATCCAGAGCTATGGGAGTCAGTTGAAGCACATCGACTTGTAAAGAATGCTATTTATCTTTGTTACTAACAGTCTCCAGAACTTATTCCTGAAAAGTGAAGGTCAGTTATAATAGAAAAATAATACTTAATATCATATGATGAACAGCTATGTATCAAACATATCCATACTAGAATTAAGAGGAACACCAGGAGGTACCAAGTCAGCAAACATTTGCTGAGTAGATTCTGTGTGTCAGACACTGGGGACCCCAAGGTAGCATGACTTATCTCTAGTGTCAGAAATGGACAGTATTTGAACAGAGTCCCAGCAACAGGTGGCCCATTCAAATTTGGTAATTTGAGAAGAGTCTAAAAATGGGACTCTTTATAAAGGGGGGTAGGAAATGACTAGGGATGGTACAGCACTATGCAGTTAGTACCAGCAGGTTCCATTGCAAGCCTTGGACCCAAAGGGGAGAGGAGGGAGGGATTGCTAGAACTTTGAAAATAAGAGCCGTGAGATGGCACCTTGAGAGGAGCTATGACCGTCAGCCAAGAGAGGCAGTGACCACAGCCAGCACACAGTGACCCTGAAGGAGGCAGCTAGGGGAACAAGCACCCCAGCCTCCTATCTTCCTCCATCCCTCCAGTCACCTGCCATGCTCCTCCATGGCCACATAAAATCAGAAACCCTAGGGCAAGGGAGCCCCTGATGTAATCCTCCCAGGCCAGCTTAAAGCACAGAGCAGGTAGGCAAGGGTAAAAAGGAAACGTGAAGGGTAAATTGAAGCTGTCCCACACAAACCTTCCTGGGACCACTTCATCAGGCAAGTGATGCTGATTGCTGAGGCTCAATGGGTCTGTAAAAGTTCTTAAGACAGGAAAGAATGAGATTGACCTTACCACATCTGTACTGGGTAGTTTATAATCAAAGAGAGATGTGTTCTAGAGGAATATGTAAAATGAAAACCAGTGTCAAGATAGCAGTTAACAGTGGTGAGCTCTCGACCCTGCTGGCACTACACATTCAGTCTGCACAGAAACCCAGCAGCTGGCCTCTCTTATTACCACTTGCAGATTAGGAAACTGATTAGGCACAGGGTACTTTAGTAGTTTTCCTAAGGTCACAGCTACTAAATGGTGGAACTGAATTCAAACACAGGCAGGGTGGCCCCAGAGAGCCCACCTGTGGCTACCACATGATGTGGTCTCCCTCCACCACATTGTCTCTTTGCCCTACATGCCTGGGCCTGGTAAGTGGTGGAGCCAGGATCCCAGCCCAGGTGAGAGTCTCAAGCACGTATTTAATCACTACAAGACTGAATGGTTTGGCCTCTAATTTATAATGGGGAAATGAAAACAGGTCCTCAGTGTGGAGAATTCAAATGTCAGTCGATGGACTTTATTCCCTGGGTTAAAAATTAGTTCAAAGGAACAAGTATCAATACAACTTAGATAGGACGATAGTTCAACCCAGTTTCCTCCAGTTATTCTGGTGTAATCATTAACAACTCCCATTTTTCACTTTCAAAAGTGCCCTGGTGTGTACAGTGAGTTATGGTTTTCCTAATCCTGATGAGTCTCTGAAAAACAGGCTCATCTTTTCATTCTCTCATTACCAGCACCATGATTGACTTTTGAGTAAGCAAATAAATGCCAAGTGAACGAATGATGCAATATATCATTTAGTTGAGTCAGTTTGAAGCTCCCAGCATGACCATAGCTTTCGGTATACAATGAACAGTGACTGGAGTTCAGTTTGAGATGCCTCAGCACAAGGCTGTATGGCCACTACACGGCTGTGCTTACCACAGTTGTGACAGCAATCTGAAATGGATTGTGGTGATGGTTGCACAATTCTGTGATCATAATAAGAACTATTAGATTCTATACTTTGGGTGAAATGTATGATATATAAATTACATCTCAGTAAAGCTATTTGGAAAAAAAAATGGTCACAGGGATGGGTATGTTCTTTAGTAGGCTTTCTACTAAACATACCTCCTCAAAGTTCATGCTCCTCACTTGGAAATGCCACACCAAGCAGCAGAAAGCATGGCTCATGCAGCACCACCATCCATATGCTGCTTAGTTTCAGAAAGCCCCCCTTGAGAGAATGCTGTTATATTGCCTTCTTCCTGTGACAGAAGAGGCAGGTCCAGAATCTTCCACCTCTAGAACTGTGCATTATGCATGAGGCAGAGAAGTGGGGGTGAATAATGAGGTTTTTCAAATATAACAAGTTTGTACATAAGGCACAATATCCAAAAAGCAGTCTCTAGAAATTTTCTTGCAGAACTTAACATTCTTAAACATTTCCTCTTTCCTGAGAAAGCCAAGTAGAGGATATATTAATCTTTTCCTCCTTTCTGCTGTTCGCCCAAATTGTCTTTTGAAAACTCCAGGTATTTAGATACTAAGAAATAAATGATAAACCTTATGAAAATTGGAAATCTTTTTGACATTATGATGATTGTCCTCGGATTTGAAGGAAAGAGATGTTTGAAGTTACGAAGTTACAGTTCTCATCAACGTAGTGTTTAAGATCCAGTCACGTGTCCATTTGTAATGCCCGGTGCAGGTTTTAGCCATCTCTCCATTTGGTTTGCTCGATGGCTGGTGCTGGGTGGCAAGTGTTCTTTGTGGATTCTTTCATAGGTGGAAGATGCTGTGCCTTCTCCCCTGATGGGAAAGCCTTAGCCGTGGGCCTGAATGACGGGAGTTTCCTGGTGGTGAATGCTGACACCGTTGAAGACATGGTGTCCTTCCATCACAGAAAAGAAATGATCTCTGATATTAAATTCTCAAAAGGTAAAGATGACAGTGGAGACTGAGAAATGTCACAGTCTTGGAGCAAAAAAAGAACTATGAGAATGAACTATTTTATTTATTTTTACAATTCCTTTTTTAAGCTATTTTTTATTCTTTTTATTTATACATGACAGTAGAATGTATTTTGACATACATACATGGAGCATAACTTCCCATTCTAGTGGTCGTACATGATGTGGAGTTACACTGGTTGCGTATTCATATATGAATGTAGGAAAGTTATGTCTGATTCATTCTACTGTCTTTCCTATTCCCATCCTCCCTTCCTTCCTTCCTTCCTTCTCTTTTGTCTGATCCAATGAACTTCAATTCTTCTCCCCACCCCTTTATTGTGTGTTAGCATCCACATATCAGAGAGTATATTTAGCCTTTGGAAACTGAAAACCCAAAGAATAAACTATTAAATGTCTCTTTGACCTTGTTCCTATTTTACTAGTTTCTTGGAAACAAATTCCCATATAAAGTATTTTGGTGTTAACTGCACATTTATCTTCATAGATACAGGAAAATACTTAGCTGTGGCATCCCATGATAACTTTGTGGATATTTACAATGTACTGACAAGCAAGAGGGTTGGCATCTGTAAAGGAGCTTCTAGTTACATTACACACATTGACTGGGACTCTAGAGGTAAAGTATGTTGTGACTTTTAAGGTATATTTCTGTTTTTAAAAAAAAAAAAACAACGTTCATTCATATATTGTTTCTAGAGAAAAAGTTGAGTTTTAGCAAAAAGTTGGGCAAGGGGAACTCACAGTAATATAATGTATTATAAATTTGTAGCCTAGAAGCAGCTGCCATTACCATTTTGGGTGTTTTCCCATATTTTAAAAATAATTGTTATTGTTGTCATCATTGTTGATTCAGGTCATTGAGTTTTAGGACTGTTGCAGACACACAGTGCCTTCTGTTACCACACAAACCACGACCTTGCCTTTGGGTTCAGCAGGCTCTGTCCTTACCCTGGGTTTCTTCCTCCTTCCCACTTTCCCCTTTTCTCCACCTCCTGGAGAACTGCCCCTAAAAGCTCCAGCAATTTCCATATTCCAATGGAGACAGAAAGCCAGATCCAGCTTGCCTAAAGTCCCTTGGCTTTCCCAAGCTCCCAGCCTACCCTCTGCCTCATCCAAGTCATGCCCACAAACGTCAAGAAGACCCGTTTATTTAATACATCAAGCTTCTACCATTTGTAAAGACTTAAGCCAGAAAATATGGACGATCTAGAAGTGAGACATGGCCCCTCTCTGTGGAACTTACAGCCTTTACAACTTAGTGAGAGACATGCTTGGGCTGAACTAACACAAGAACAAGAACATAAACTGGGTAAGGTGTGGAGGGGTGAGTCATAGGAAGTGGTGAGCCCAGGCTAGGATGGGTCTAGTCAATACTGGGGTGGGACATCAGTGCTATAGAGTAGGTGACTTTTAGATCCTATTCTAGTGATTTGGCTGATGTTTAGAGGCTGGAACAGGCATTTAGGAATGGGCAGGGTTGGTGCTTTTAAAGAAGTCAGGGTCCGTCTTGGAAGAAAAGCACCAGCACACTGTGTGCTCTGAGGAAGAGGCTCCCGGGGGGAATCCATGGAGCCTTCATAAAAGGAATGGCCTTCCAGGTGGATCTTTAAAGATGTGCAGAAACTCACTAAACAGTAAAAGTCAAGGAAGAACATTCCAGGTGAAGGGAGTATGGCCTGCAAAGCCTCCAAGGTGGAAAGAACAGGAGGTTAAGAAGTGGTGAGTAATGCCCAGTGGACAGGATGCAGGGGAAGCAACGTGGAAAGGCAGTAAAAAGGGACTCTTGCCTTATGCTAGGAAGTTAACATTGAACTTTATTTCACAGGCACTAGGTGACCCCAGGTTATTTAGAGCAGGGCATTCTCTAGCATCTCAAGCAGGAAATGAACCTAGAGTTGGACAGCAACTAATGTAAGTCAGAGAAAGAAGTGGCAAGGGCCTGGGCCAAGAAGAGGTTACTTCCAAGACCCCAGAGTGTTTCTTAAAACAATAGGCAGAGACTAGGGCTCAGCAGTCTTTGTGCTGGGCAGGTTTTTGGTTGTGGCTGGACCTGCCTCACTGGAATTCAGGCTATTTCAGCTTTATAGCCTGCAGGAGTTTTATAGAGTACAGTAGATAGAGGAAGGCATGAGATTTATTGTAAAAGGAAAAAGAACTCAACAAGGGCAAAGGGAGATCAGATAAGTCCCTTTTGCTTTCATGTCAGGGACATGCCAGCCACAGTGCTGAGAGCTTAGGCTGAAATTTATGATCAGGCAGGACACTGGTGCCTGAGTCACTTAGGAACTTGGGAGGCCAAGTGGGTAGGCAGAAGCAGCTGTTTCTCAAACCCCTTCTTTGATATTCCTTGTTTTATCATTTGAAAAAAGCAGTGATTTCCCCCTTTTTGTTCTCCTCTAGTTGAGATAGGGTATAATGACTTTTATTTGAAATCCACCGCACACAAACACGCCACCTGTCACAAGTGTGACATCTCACCACCACAAGTACTATTAAGGGCTAAAACTTATTACCTATTATTGAGGGCCAAAAGAAAATGAGTTATATGAAGACAAAGTTTTCATTGGGAGGATTTTTCAGAAAATTATTTTTAATGGTGGCAAAATACATATGCAATTGATCATCTTGATCTTAAATATACAGTTCAAGGCATTTTATGTTGTTAGGCAACCATCACCAGTAATCATCCTCTTTTCACCTTGTAAAACTGAAACACCATACCCATTAGACAGTGACTGCCCATCCCTCCAGTCCCTGGCAACCACTATTCTGCTTTGTTTTTACAGATAGACTATTCTAGGACCTTATAGAAGTAGAATTGCACAGTATTATTTTTTTTTGTAACCAGCTTATTTTACTTAATATTAGGCACCCAGGGCTCATCCATGCTATAGCTTGTGTCAGAATTCCCTTCCTTTTTAAGGCTGAATAATATCCATATTTTGCTTGTTTGTTCCTCTGTGGATGGAGACTTGAGCTACTTTCACATTTTAGCTGTTGTAAATAATACTACTATGAACCTGGGTGCAAAATATCTTTTCAAGATCCTGCTTTCAGTTCTTTGGCGTGTATAGCCAGGAAGGGGACTGCGGGATCATATGTAGTTCTATTTTTAAGTTTATGAAGAACCACTGTCCTATTTTTGACAGCAGCTGCACCATTTTACTTCATCACAATCAGTACACAAGGGTTCTACTTTTCTACATTCTTGCCAACACTTGTTATTTTCTGTTTTTATTTTGATAGTGACCACCTAATGGGTATGAAGTGACACCTCATTTTTGGGAGTGCAGGGGCTGGGAGAGCAGGTAGAGGTATCAGGGATTGAACCCAGGGAATCTTACCCACTGAGCCACATCCCCATCCCTTTTTTGTTTTTGTTTTTAAGACAGGGTCTCACGAAATTGCTTAGGCTAAGTTGCTGAGGCTGCTCTCAAACTTGCAAACATCCTGCCTCAACCTCCCAAATCACTGGGATTGCAGGTGTGAACCTCCACGCCCGGCTCACTGTCATTTTGATGTGCATTTGGAGAATTGTTTTTTGTTTGGTTTTTTTGTTTTGTTTTGTTTTGTTTTTTTGTTTTTTAATTCTGCGAGTGTGCAGGTCCTGTGTCAGATACTGGGGATTAAAGAGGAGTAAGTCCAGGATGGAAAGCACAAGATCTTGGCTAAGATCAGTGTGTCACTGCCATGGTAGGTCTTGGATAAGGATCTATGTCAGGTGCCTCATCTAGAAGCTGTCTCCCACTTGGTGGGAGAGGGGCAAAATTTACTATGTCTATAATTCTACCCAAGTCCAGCCTCCTGGAGCTCAGACCCACAGAAAGGGGACTGGGAGTAAGGAAGAGGAAGCCAACGTGATTGTGGTGGTGGGATGTCACACCTGTGATGGGTCCCTTCAGTCAAGGTGAGGGTGTCAGACCAAATGGTTTCTATGACTTGAGTATAAAGTAGAATACTTGTGATTTTTAGAGAGGAATTATACCATTTGGAGAATAAGAACAGGTGTACCCATGAATCTTCCCTGGTTTAATTCCAGTCCCATTAGCTATGAGACATGTCATCCTGATATCCAGGTCCCAAAATGCCTGGAGAATGTGCCACACTGCCTCAGGACCAGGCTTCCCTTCCACAGAGGGGGCCTGGAGGGTCTGGCTGGGGCAGTGAGCAGAATTTAGAAGCAGGGATCTATTTCATCCCTTTGATCCTGTCAGAAATAGTGAAAGCATTAGCCAGAGCCAGCTGGCTCCTTAGGGCAGAGATGGCGCAGCTGTGACAGCCTTCCGGCCCTCAGCCTGCAGCAATCGCAGGTCCCAGGAAAACCGGAAAGTGCATCCACCTTTTGCAAAAACATCAGATACTCTGAATGAAAGTTCCTGGGTGTGATGCTAGAGAAATAATATATGGAAAGAGAGAAAACACGGAAGCACGTATTCTAGATGCTACAAGTTCATTTCTAGAAATGTGATCTTTTGCCAGTTAACAGTTTGAGCCATCATAAGACATTTCCTTTTTATTTTCATTGCAAATGGGCCTGATAAGTCTGATACATGTAGTACGACTTTGGGAATTATTCTAACCAGTAAATTATGTGGTGACTGGAATAACACATGTGACTCACTTTGTGGACAACAAAACTGTGTGCCTGAAAGATGTCTGATTTACTCTACCTTAGTAATGAGGACAGTGTTTCAGTCCCCTCATTCTGCATAAGCAGACTTCTAGTGAATGAAGACTTGAGAATTCCAAAAGGATAGGGTTCCTATTTGTCAGAAGGAATTACGTATGGGTTTTATCCCATCTTTTTCTTCTTTGCTCCTTCTCTGCCCTCTGAAGATGTCAATGGTGATATATCTAGGTCTGTATGATATAGATATAGATCCACAGCAGCAGAGAGAAAAGAGTAATGACCTAAATATTTTCTCTATGCTTAAAAAAATACATAATAACAACTGCAGTAAATTTCAGGGGGCTATAAGCATACCCATAAATTTGCCTTCCTAACCCAAGAATAGATTTTTTTTTAATTATTCACCTCCTAGGTTAAGAAATAGAAACCCAAACTAGCTTAACTTTTAAAATAATAATGAAGGACCGTTCGCCAGAGAGATCTAGGAATATCTGATAGAATCTAGAACAGGAAGCCGTATCTCCAGAGAAACTGGCTTTAGGAATGAACTAGAAAATAGAGACTGAGCAAGCAGTTCCTCTCCTGTTCCCCTCCTCCTCTGTGGCAGCTGCTCTTGGCACCCACTGCTCTTCTGGGCCTGTGTCTGCCTTTGGCCTCTCAGCATAGCCCAGTCTCAGCTGCCCCCAAATGCATTCATGATCCCAAAGTCACATCTCATACCAGCTGGGCCCTCCTGGGTCACTGTGTGTGTCTAGAGTTAAACTTGGTCATAGGGGCCTGGGCCTCAGTGGGGACCAGTTCTCAGAAAGGAGTACAGACAGAGGGTACCCCACTAGGTGTCTGTGACACCATGTGGCACTTCTGGTGCTTGCTCTGTGTTATATTCTTGTAATCATAAAATGCCTCGCTCACAATATTTTAGTCTTTTGTTGCTGTTCATTCAGATGTTAGATTTTTTTTTAAGCAAGTATTATCTTTAAAACTAGTGTAAAGTGCACTGTTGGGATCATCTGAGAATTACAATCCTCTGAGTTCTCTTAGTATCTCTTAGCCAAAAATTCATCTAAAACTTTGCCACATTCAAAGAAGATCTTCAATTGAATCCTTTAATCCTCTTCCCACATGCTTTGTTATCTGCAATCACTTTTGAAAGCCCTAAAAATATAATTGCAGATATATTTAGTTCTTTGGAAAAAGTATTGATAACTCATTTTCTTTCAAAAGCTAAAAAGACAAAGATGATTTAATTCCCTCTTCTCTCGTTTGTATTTGATTAGCCATGAAGTCAGAAAACAATATCCATTGTAGAGGACAAGTTTTCAGATTCCCTTGCTCCTAAGGGTTCAGGGAGTCCCCAATCAGCCACGTGCTAACTCACCAAATTAGAAACAGAATTCAGTAAAGAAATAAAAGAATCTTGCATTTAATTTATCACTCTTTAAGGTTAGCTGAGCTAGATTTCAGACCCAGCGGGTGCCTACTTAAACATTAAAGAATGTGATATAACCACAGAGTTCTTTTGGGAGGGGGCCTTTTTTTTTCCCAAGGACATTTTAAGACTACTAGATATACTTAGATGTGGGGGTGGGGGGTGAAAGAAGGAAGAAGGTTATTTTATACAGACATATGCTGAATTCTTTGTAGATCAAATATTATGATGTCTGAGATTTGCTTCAAAATAAACTGTGGTGCGATGGTCAGAGGAGTTTATGAGACAGGCCTGGCCATGAGTGCCTCATTGAAGCTGGACAATTCCATATCTGTTTGAAATTTTCATAATTAAAAAAATGCTAAAATAATAACAGACCATATATATATCTTGAGACTTTAAAATTTTCAAGCCAAAAAAGATTATTGCCATCCTAGGAGGGAAACTAGGAAATCTATTCTTTTTCAATATTAATCAAAATTAAGATGATAGTTCTATGTCAGACTGAAAGATGATATTTGCTTAACATTCTGTTTGCGGTAAGTCTCGTCTTTTCCAACTTCCAAGTAAGACAGGGTGGGGGAAGAAAGCATTTGTAGTTTGTTTTATGTGTCCTTTCTGTTTCTAAATTTGTTTGCTGCTATGCTGGACATCCAATCCAGGGCCTCACGCAAGCTGGACAAGTGCTCTTCCACTGAATTGTATCCCCAGCCGCTCAGTTTCTAACTTTAAAGGCAGATTTACAATTTAGACCTGAGTAAATGCAATGCACACAACAAAGATCTTGCCTCAAATGCTAGAATTTTTGCAGAAGCCATTTGCTTCACTTCATTTATATGCTAAGAGACAACAGGGGAAAGTACAAATAAATTGATTTTGTCAGTCTTTGAAGATTTGTAGCTATTTTCCAGTGCAACAGAGTAAAACATATCAAGCTTGATTCTTCTATTGGAAGGATATTCAAGGTCAAATTTTATGAGTTCTATATTCTAAAAAATCACAGCTTTGGGGCTTGTACCTTGTCATGTTATTTCTTTTACATGCCCTTCTGAATAATTTAACATGCATCTACTCAATTTATGAGACTTTGATTAGAATGAATCAAAATAGTGGTGACTTATAATTGTATGATAAAAAGATAAATGCACAACTTAATCATCTGTCTCCTTTCTGTCATCCCAGGAAAATTATTGCAAGTTAATTCGGGTGCCAAAGAACAACTTTTTTTTGAAGCTCCAAGAGGCAAAAGGCATATTATAAGACCCTCAGAGGTAACAATCATAACCAAAGCTTTAAAAAATATATTTTGTGTATAGTTAATGTGTTAACTTTAAAAAAAACCTATCAATATTCACTAGTATGGATGACATTTAGCTTACCTTTAAGCTTGATCATTTCTTAAGACTGAATCATTGCTTAATTTGGTTTCCTAATTTCTGAGGACATGGAGTCACTGAACCACTGACAGAGCAGGGTAGAGTTGGCATTCTGCTTCATTTTTCTTGCCATCAGACAATAAGTTAACACTTTGGATACCTATTTTTCCATTCAGCATGTCATTTTGTGCAAAGCTTTTCATGAACATATATTTTTGAAATATTTTCTCAATGTCTATTGGTGGTAATAAACAATATTATATACAATAATAACAAATTATTTTTTTAAAGAAGTGGTCCACAGCCCAGCCATTCCAATGTATCAAGCTGTTTTCTTCATTCCATGTTTTTTTCCTCGTGTCATTATTATCCTTATATGTATTTTTTTAATTGAAATCAAAGCCTCTGTAGAATGTTGAATCATAAGCATGCCTTCCTGGAAGATGGGTTTCTTTCTGGGTTAGTACCTCTTTTAGGGTCTTGGAATAATGATCTTGATTATCCAAATGTATTTCCATGATTAAGCCCCAAGGAAGTCCTCTTGATCCTTGGAGACAAGCTGAGTCATTTGTTTAACCTTTGATGAAACAATAGGAAATATTGCTTCTTTGGAGGAGGAGGAAAGGGTAAGCCACTAAGTGACAAGCCCTGGCCTCTCTGGCTTTCGTTGGCCAGTGTTATAAAATATCACAGTACTGTCAAGCACTCCTAAAGGCAATGGGACATAGGTACGTTCATAATATTGCCATTGTTTATAAAGGGAGTATACATGTCGTACTTAAGAAATACAAGTTGTCATAGGTGACCGCATTGTGTTATGGAAACTGATGATTACTGAATTGGCATTACTCCCCAGTTCCAATTGCCTTATCTGTGATTAGTTCTCATTTTAACTTTTTTATATGAAGAAACTTACAGTCTTGAGTAAGATTCTTGTCATTCATTCACCAAACATTGGTTGAATATGCCAAGCATTGTACATTTTTTAATCTTCACAACAGCTTTAGATGATAGTTGTCAGTCTCAATTTACAGGTAAGGAAATTAGAACTTCAAGAGAGTGACAGCCATGGAGCTGTGATCTAATCTGGAGGGTCCACATGTCACTACACAGTCTGGACCCTGAGCCGCCTTGAATTTCTCTTGTGTACTTATAAGCATCGTTATACATCATTTCAGATTTATTTTTCCTTCCCTCTCTAGTCCCCCCAAATTAGTACACCCAAATAAAATACAAACTAACCAAATGGTGGAGGAAAGCTGAGGCTGGCTTGGAACAGATAAGCAGTCATTACATAAAAGAATATGCAAAAAAGGTAAATTTGGGTTATAAAGTTGACCAAAATGGAAGGGTCTTGCTCTGAAGAGTAAATTTGCACTCTCTGGTGCACATTTTATTATTCCAGAGACTGATTCCCAATGATGTGAGTTTGGGAGTCCTCCAGCTAATGTTTTCTCGGCCAACCTCCCTGGTAGTACCACTACTAAGATCACCAAAGAGACAGCTCGTCAGTTGGTCATCCACCGGCCCTTTAGCGGAGCATAAAGGGCTTTGAAAGTATTTTTCAAAAAGATTTTTTAAGAGTCAGCAATGATGAAACTAATATAAAAGCTTACCCAGAAAGATGTTAAATATGACAAATATTAAAACATCCACTTAAAAATCTACCTGATGCAGTAAGGTGGGGTTAAAGGAACAATATACTAGAGGGCAAACTAGTGTGACTCCCCCTCTGTTTCCTAAGCATGCTACCTGAGGGATGTAACCTCTCCATGGGCTTCAATTGCCTTTTCCACAAAATGATGTTGAGTTTTGTAAAATGAGATTTATCTGTAAAATAAGATTGATAACTAGCACATAAAGCCAGATGTGGAGGATTAAAACAAAGCCATATGAAGTAACTGGCACACTCAGCAAATGTGAAGTGAATGAATGACATAATTAAAAATACTTCTCACTCAAGGTGCTAAGGAAGATGAGAGTTTTTAACAAGTTTATTTAATCCTTTGGAGTTTTAGGAATTACAAGGTCTTTTGTGTGTGTGTGTGTGTGTGTGTGTGTGTGTGTGTGTGTGTGTGTGTTTGCATATGCGCATCAGGGATTGAAACCCAGGGACACTCAACCACTGAGCCACATCCACAGCCCTTTTTTCTTTTTTTTTTTTTTTCTTTTTTTTTTCATTTTGAGACAGGGTCTCACTAAGTTGCTTAGGGCCTTGCTAACTTGCTGAGGCTGACCTCAAATTTGTGATCCTCCTGAGCCACTGGAATATATTCACTACTGTGTCGGGCCAGATCATTCTTAAAATTCCATTTTAAATGCAATATTTTAGCTTCCAACAAGTTTAGGCACGTGCTTCCCCTGGAGAGCAGAGTGTCCAGATCTAGCAAACAGTGATATGTTGGGGTCACTACAGGCTGAGCAGAACCAAGCTCACTCTCCTGCCCATCTAACAAAGCCAGCACCAGGGCAGGGATTGGAGATGGACAAGGA